ATTTTCAAACTACCACAGAACAAACCATTCATTTTTGTTATTATCAAGGCTGAGTTATTTATATTCAAAATCCTCCTGCCCCCCCCCCCCCCCCCCCCCCACAGAATATCAAATGGTTGTCCCCTAAGACAATTCAGAAATGAAAGAACATATTTAGTATAAATTTGTAAAGGCTAACTGTTGAGTAATACTTTTGATTTAGCACTATCATTATTCATGTTATTGATAGTTTTATAATTTAAATATTTTTATGTATTTTTGTTTCAAGGGTTTCTCTTTCCCTTTTATATTAATGACAATGCCACACTGGATGTGTAAGAAATTTTAGTACAAGGTTCCGTACCACAATAGGAGGGTTGGGATTGATTTTTGGGGTTATTGTCTTAGCTGTTTTGTAATTATGGGCCAGAAATGGGCCAAAAACAATTATTTGTCTGGTTTTAAGACAATAACTTGAATATATAAGAGATATTTCTTTGGTCAAAATTTTAACATAAGGTTCCACACCACAATAGGTAGGTTGGGATTAATTTTGGGGGTTATTGTCATAGCTGTTTAGGAATTAGGGGCAAACAAGGGTCTAACAAAAACAATTATTTGTCAGGTTCACAGACAATAACTTGAGTAAACATAAGTGTATGGATCTCTATTAAATTTTAGCACAAGGTTTCATACCACAATTATAAGGAAGGTTTGAATTTATTTTGGGGGTTACTGTCGTAGCTGTTTAGGAATTAGGGGCCAAAAACATACATTTTTCATGTTTCAGGACAATAATTGATGTATAAGAGTATAGATATCTATGAAATTTTACCACAAGGTTCCATACTTATAAAAGAAAGTTTAGAATGATTTTTGGAGGGTCATGGCCCATACTGTTTAATAATTAGGGGTCGAAAAGGGGCGGAAAACAACTATTTTTCTGGTTTGCAGGCAATAACTTGAGTATAAATGTATGGATTTCTATTCAATTTTAGCACAAGGTTCCATACCACAAAAGGAAGGTTGAGGTATATTTTGAGTGTTATTACAGTAGCTGTTTAGGAATTAGGGGCCAAAAAGGGCCTAACAAAAACAATTATTTGTCTGGTTCACAGACAATAACTTGAGTATAGCTATATAGATCTGTATTAAATTTAAGCACAAGGTTCCATACCACAATAGGAAGGTTAGAATTTATTTTAGGGGTTATTGTTGTAGCTGTTTAGTAATTAAGGACCAAAAAGGGGCCAAAAACAAGCATTTTCAGGATGTTTAAGGACACCAATTTTGTATTAGAAAATGGATTTCTATGAAATTTTACTACAAGGTTCCATACTTCAAAAGGAAAGTTGGGATTGATTTTAGGGGTCATGGTCCAAATTTAAACTGTTTAATAATATTAAGGTGCTGAAAAGGGGCCAAAAAACTAGCATTTTCTGATTTCTGGACAATAAATTGAGTATAAGTATATTTATTGCTATTTAATTGTGCTACAAGGTGTTATACTATAAAATAAAGTTTGGGATTGATATTAAAGGGGTTATGACCCTATTGGTTTAGTTAAAAGGGACCAAAACCAATACTTTGTATAAATTGCTTATTTTGTTAGCAATTTCAATGGGATTTAATTCAAAAGTCTTGAACTCTTGGGAGTCTTTAATATGCTGAATTTAATTGGGTATTTAATATTTGGATTTTAGAGTCTGTTTTTGAAATGATTCATATTAAGGTCCAAAGGGTCCAAAATTAAACTTTGTTTGATTTATTTAAAAATTAAATTATTGGTGTTCCTTGATATGCTGAATCTAATTGTGTATTCAGATTTTTTTAATTTTAAAGCCTGTCTTCAAATTGGTCCACATTAAGGTCCAAAGGGTCCAAAATACAACTTTTTTTTATTTAAAAAAAAAGTGAATTCTTTGGGGTTCTTTGATATGCTGAATCTAAGCATGTATTTAGATTTTAGATTTTGGGCATGGTCAGCCCACATTAAGGTCTAAAGGGTCCAAAATTAAACTTTGTTTGATTTAAAAAAAAAGAATGGTTGGGATTCTGTATATGATATGCTGAATCTAAGTGGTATTTAGATATTTGATTTTGGGCAAAGTATTCAAGATGGTCCAAATTGGGGTCCAAAATTGAACATTGTTTGATTTCATCAAAAATTAAATTGTTGATGTAATTTAATATGGTCAATCCATCAGTGTTTTAGATATTTTGATTTTGTGCTTGTGCGGTGGTTTTCGAAGTTGGTCCAAATTTGGGTTTAAAATTAAACTTTGGTTGATTTCTTCAAAATTTAAATCATTGGTGTTCTTTAATGTGTGCAATCTAACAATGTTTTAAATTTTTGATATGGGGCCCATTTTTCAAACTGGACCCCATAAAGGTCCAAAGCATCCAAAATAAAACTTAGTTCGATTTTAACAAAAAATGAAACAATGTGGTTATTTGATTTGCTGAATCCAACCATGTATTTAGAATTTGAATATTGGACCATGATTGGTAAATGTCTAATTTTAAAATTATTTAAGAACATACACCACATTCTTCTGTGTCAGAAACTATGCTATTATTACATATTTGCTCAGAATCTAAATTCAGAGATGTTACTGGACAATTAACAGAAATTTTAAGTTGGGGTCATAGTTGAAAATAGATATAACATCATATCTAATTTTAGAGAACTAATTTTGTGGTTTACATTACTGGTTCATGGAAAATAAGTTCATGGAAAATAAATTGGTTCATGGACAATAACTTTAGTATAAGTATATGGATGTGTAAGAAATTTTAGCACAAGGTTCCACAATAGGAGGGTTGGGACATTAAATAGTTAATTAAGCTCTACTTTTATAGATTTATTGCACAACTAATAGTTGAGTCATAGTTTAAAATTGATTGCTTTTTCAGGTATATTAATTGTGGTGATAGTTGTGTTTGCATGGTGTTCTATTTAAAGATTGTTAACATGTTTGAATATTTTCTTATGGTTGAAAATTCCTTTGGAAATTAAAAGAGACCTTTGTCCATCTGTTGAAGTAGTGGAAGTGTAGTTAAGTGAAGTTTTTAAATACAAATGTGCCATACATTATATTATATTACATCTTAAAAGAAAATGTTATTTTTAACCGGATTTTCGAAAGAAATCGGTTATTGATTTGGGGATGTACGGCGGGCGGGCAGGCGGGCGGCTGCCAAACAGTGTCTGTTCATTAACATGAAAAAGCTTTGACGAAATCTTTTCAAATTTAGATATATTGTTTCCTTTGACTAAATGAAGGTCAAGTTCAATTTTCACGATTTTAGCTTTTCTAGTTGTTGAGATGTAGACCTTTCAATAGCCAAATGGGATGCTTATTATATGATTTTGAGTTATTTCCCTTTGAACAGAAATGTAATTTCTATGTCATATGGTCTCTTAATTATTTTGAGTTATTTCCCTTTGAACAGAAATGTAATTAATTAATAAGTAAATATGTATTACTTGATCCTGTTTGGGGGTCCAGATTGCAAATATCATTTTCATTAGATAATAATCTATTTTTATTAAAGGATATATTTCATTACATTACATTGTGTAGATAAAGTTGTTGACATTGATAGATAAGTTGCAGTTATTAGTTTGTGACAAATGAAAGATATAAAGTTTGATTACATTAAGTGTTTTTAAGATAACAAACATGTGGTAATTATCAATCACAATTATAATTAGAGTGACAGGTTTATTTGAAAATATTGTGTTTCCTAAGTGTTTTTGATGATAAGCTCTGTAGGACGGTATAAATATAGTTAGAAATTTACTGTTCAGTATTAGTCATTTTGATTTTTCTTTTCTTTGGTAAATTGTTTGAAGAATTTTGTGGTAGGTTTGTTTCTTATTCTGTATAAACAAATTTTCTGAATGCTATATATATATTTTTATTTTGATGAAGCAAACGCCTTTAAAAACTAAGCTTATATTGTCTATTAATAAACATATATATTTAGATTTCTGATTTTGGGCCCAGTTTTCAAGTTGGTCCAAATCTGGGTCCAAAATTAAACTGTGTCTGATTTCAACATAAATTGAATATATATCATGTATATAGGGTTCTTTGAAATGCTGAATCTAAACCTGTATTTATTTTCATTATTAATTAGATAATACCACATTGTGGTCCGAAGGGTCCTAAATTAGACTTTTGTTTGATTTCATCAAAAATTAAATTCTTGGGGTTCTTTGATATGCTGATTCTAACAATGTATTTAGATTTTGGATTTTGGGCTCCGTTATTAAATTGGTCCACATTGAGGTCCAAAGGGTCCTAAATTAAACTTTTGTTTGATTTCAATAAAAACTGAATTTTTTGTGTTCTTTGATATGCTGATTCTAACTATGTACTTAAATTTTGGATATTGGACCATAATAGGTAAATGTCCAATTTAAAATTTTTCAGTTCTTTGAGCAAATTTATTTTGTGTCACAAACCTACGCTGTGTCAAATAATCAATCACAATCCAAATTCAGAGCTGTTTTAAGCTTTTAAAATGTTGTGTCCATACTTGCCCCAACTGTTTAGGGTTCAACCTCTGCGGTCGTATGAAGCTGCTCCCAGCGGAGCATTTTATTGTGTTTTGGGCAAAAATTATAGAGTGATAGAAAAAATAATAGAGGGAAACAGTAAAGAAAAAATGATCAGCAATACAAATTCAACAAAAAAGAGAATTAACGTTGGAGAGAGTCTATTGATGAGGATGCACATAGACCTAAGTGAGTGACACAGGCTCTTTAGCAAAATGTTTAGAGCTTTTAGTTTTCACCTGCCCTAAAAAACAAATTTTTCACACAAAATTTTGGATCAAACAATTTATTCTAAAAAACACCCACCAAAAAAAAATGAATGGTCAGTGCCTTATCATGTTTTATCCATTACTTCCAGTGCTAGAACATGTAGAACTACAAGGAAATTTGGTAAGAATTGTTTTAGTTTTTTAATGAATTATGTTAAATAACTGTCTCCTTTTTTATTTTTTAGATTGTGTAATTCATTAAATATTCAAACATTGGATAATGCCGAATACAGTGGTAACTATGGTGATGATCAACAGTAAATAAGTTGACATACTGCCAGAAGTAATAAGACCACTGAAACGATTTTATCGAAGAGTGAGGAAAGAATTTATATTTACATCTAAGAAGTCAAAATAGGAGAACAGATTGACATTTAAAATGTCGTCACATGCTGTTTGTGCCTCACCACAAAAAAGTTGGATGCGAATAGCCATGAAATATCCTTTTCCAAGACCACAGAAATTAACCACATCTAAAAAGTCAAAAACTGAAAAGATAAAAGCAACAAATTGCAAATCACTTAAGAATTTAAAAAACAGTAAATATAATTTAGGTCTGAAACCTGGAAAACAAGAACTTGTAGTTAAACAATACAAGTGTAAGGTTAAAAGATGTAAACACCGATTTTCGAAGAAGTCCGATTTAGAAATACACCTTAACACTCATAACAGAATAAAAACATTAACCTGCAACTTTTGTAACAAAGAATTCTTAAATCAGAAAATATTCCAAAGACATGAGCTCAAATGTAAAATAACTAGGAAGGAAAAAAAGAAAATTGGTAAACACCTATGTAAAGAATGTGGAGAAAGTTTTTACCAGCGTGGAACATTTGAAATTCACCAGAGATCTCACTTCAATGTCAAGCCGTACATGTGTGTTATATGTGGTAGAAAGTTTATTTTGAAATTGGCAATGTATAGACACATTACCGGGCATATTTCACTGTTTGAATGTCAGACGTGCAAAAGTGTTTTCGATACTCCATTAAAACTTGAGAAACACACATTTACTCACATGGATGATTTAGCTGTTTACAAATGTCTGTATTGTACCAGGATTTTGATAGATCAAGAAAAATTTGAAAAACATTTGAAATTTCATGTCCGACACGTTAATGCAAAACAGAAACGAAGGGAATCAGTATTTCTGAAAAATTTACAAAAGTTAAGGAAATTAACAAAGAAAGCTAATAATAGTGTTAGGAAAGTTGTGAAAAAGGAGAAATTTGATAATTTTACTGAGAGTTTTCACATACATACTGATAATTCCATAGAATATGTTGACGCTGCCTCTAATGGGTCAAATAAAGGTTGCATTGCAACAAAAAAGATACAACAAACATCAAGTTTAACTGAAAATTCAAAAATGGTAGAAGATATGCCTAGCATTACAAAATTAGATTGCGTTCTTTGCCAACTGTCATTTCAAACTGTTTCATCCTTTATGCAGCATGTTAGTTCACACGAAAATTATAAAAAGGAATATCAGATTCGAGAACCAAACATTGATGTCTTAAATAGCAACAAAACCATTTATGTCTGCCGATGTTGCGACAGGAAATTTGCAAATCATAAATTTGCAAAAGAGCATATATCACTCTTATTGAAAAATCCAGATAAAATCCATGAACAGCTGAAAAATGAGCAGATCCTTGATTTTGATGAGAACAAATATATTTTCTCTGTTTCGATTGGAAATCTCAAAAGCATAGCAGAAGATTCGACAGTAAACAAAGCCATTATTTATCATTGTGCAAAGTGCAGTACAAACTTTCAGAGTAAGTCAAGTCTGTTCAGTCATGTGAAAATTTGTAAAAAAGTAGAGCCCAAATATTGGTGCCCAAACTGCAATATGAATTTTGAAACTAATGGTCTTTTGAAAGAACATATACAAATGGGCCACAAAAAATTGTACACAGATCCCATGCTTGATTTGGTTATTGTTACAACAGAGAAAACTGTAGAAAATGTAGATCAGGACTTTTCATTTGAATGTAAAAAATGTGGTATAGTTTGTAATTCCGTTCAAGAATATGCAACACACCGTGAGACGACACACAATAGTATTGGCCCAGAAATGTCTGAAGAGTCTGAATTTGTATGTGCTCATTGTTTCTTAGCATTTGAATCTCAGGCATTGCTGTATAGACATCTACAATCTCATAGAGAAAATCTCAGAACGCCGAGTAAAACTTTGAGTTATAGCGACAAAATGTGTCACAATAAGTCAGCCGGATTATGGTTTTGTACAGTGTGTAACAAGTCATACTCAACAAAATGTAACTTGACCAGGCATATTACCCTTCATGATAATGATGAGAAGGGCAGTCATGTGTGTCCATTTTGTAGTCGTGTCTTTCCGTTCCAGAGATATTTACAACATCACGTAATGTATATGCATAAGGTTAAAAAAGACGATAAAAAAAACAAGTGCGAGGAATGTGCTGGAAAGTTTACCAGCTCGTCCAGTCTTACACGTCATAAACTTTTACACACTAGAGGTGCAGATTCAAGAAAAATTTACCAGTGTGAATATTGTAATAAGAAGCTGAATTGTGACGATCAACTGAAACTACATAGGAGGACCCATACTGGTGAAAAACCATTTGGTTGTGACAAGTGTTCATATAGAGCTGCAGCATATTGCAATCTTCAAAAACATGTCAAAAGAATTCATGAAAATCCAATTCCAAACAGACGTGGTCCAAAAAGTAATAAACCAAAACCCATGGTTGTTGGAACACTTGATAAGCTGCCTCAAGAGGTTCAAGAAGGAAAAACTTCAGCATGATCAGAGGAAATACAATTCTGAAATCATCACATCTGACAATTGTCTGAAGAACAATTAATTATATGGGTTTTTAAATAGTAGATGTAATAGCCTGTTCTACCTGGCTTCACTTCTTTTCTAAAGACTCTTTTTGAAAAAGATTTTTAAATTTCCCCTGTTTCTTTAATAGCACAGGAAAAACTTTTTTTCTGTACTTAAATCTAGAAGAAACTATAATTCCAATAGAAAAGCAATAGCTCATATTTCAAAGTCCCTCTGGTTCCTGTTGAATGAGATTTGAAACAGTTCATATAAGGAATTCAATGAAACAATAGGCTGCAATTTACTTTTTATAGTCTGCATGGTCCCTCGTCAACATTTTCGGTATTTAAACTTGCGATAACTTTGATATGAAAAGAAAAACTTATATTTATTAAAATTTACCATGCTCTGATAACACAACAACAAATGCAAAAGGTGATTATTAAACTGCATCACTCTTTGATAACTTTTAGTAAAAAGGTTCATTCATAATAGATAGTTGATATTATATATATGTATATATATATATATGCCATACAAAATGTACAAAGTTGAAATCTTAATGATGTAAATTAGAATGTGAATTCATGAACATATAGATCTCAAAATATGAAATCTCTGAAAATTGAAACAAATGTCGCATATATATCCATGTATCCAAAGAAAGGGAAGCTGCTTAACCTCATGACATTGTTTTCTATTCTAGAATTATATTTGTTATACATGTAATTTTTTGTTAATGTATATATAACTTAAAATGTGATAAATGTTATGCTGAGTGACTAATACATCATAATACAACATGATTTGTTTATGGGAATACAATCATTTGCTTGATAAAAGATTTTTTTTTACCCAGGTTTAAGTCATTTTAATTATTGCAGTTGCTAATGATAAATATCTGTTATCCTTTTCTGGCATGAAAAAAAATGTCTTTTGTTTGGGACTGAAATATGTGTTGTATTTACTGATCCTTATGTGTATAATTTCTACTTATACTATAATTGTGTGCATATAATTGTTAAATACACACTGTAGCATGGCTAGTAAAACTGATTGAAATATTATAAAGCCTTTACTATGTAAGAATTGGTGTCAGAAAGACAACTTAACTTTTATGTGACTTGAATGTCTTATTTTTGTGTTCATAATAATATTATTATTTTGTTTGTTTGTTAAACTTTGCAGAAATGGAAGAACTAAGATAAGGGCCATTGTTTGGCCCCCTGAAATTGTAATTATAGTGAATTTACTCAATCTTTTCAGAATTATGTCAAATTTTAATGATAAATGAATAAAATGATATGATCTGAATATTCAGTTCAAAAAAGTATATTGCGATGTAAATGTGACTTGTAAACATGTAAAATTGACATATTTTTGTAAAATTAGGTATGAAGCAAGGCATTATATTTAACCAAAAAGATATGTTATCCAAATTAATATTTTTGTATAAGAAATCATGTAGGAAATTATATTTTTTGAGAAATCAAAATATAATAACAAGAACCCAAAGTGTGCCTATTTTGAAGATTTTGAAGTTTTGCATGAAATGTAGGATGTTTGAAGCCCTAAGCAAATGAATAAAACACATATCAAAAGAATGAATACTAATACCTGACAGACTATAAATGCCTTGTGAATATCTGAAGGGTATTATTAAATTCATTTAGGAAACTATTTTCAAATTCAAGGGGCCATAAAAAAGGCCTTATCAGACTTTCTCCTTTGTTATTGTTATTTATTAATTTAAGAAAGCAAGGAATGATCTTAGAAATATTTTTTTTTATGTTCAGAAAGTAGAACTTAGTAAAGGGAGATAACTCTATAACCTGTGTTACATAGAAGTTTAAGGTGTAACACCACTAATTCGGGCCCGGCCAGAAAGCACATACCAGAAAGTAGTACATATTTAACACAAAATAGTTCCTACGCATGAGTGTAACTTTCAAAATATGTAGAATATTTAGGTATTTTTGGTATCAAATGAAAGCTGAATGACTGGTGATCATTGTAGAACACTTTTTGACTTATAATTTTGAATATTAAAAAAACTGCACCAAATTTTAAAATGAGGGTACATTTTGCCTGTTTGTCAGATCTGAAGTACCTGTTTTGGTACATCCGAAGTTCCGGGAACCAGTTCTTTCTTATATGCCATTAAAGGTATGTTGATTTTTTCAGTACAAGACACCATAAAGTGTTGCTTTGACATGCAATGATTGTCACTTTATTTGAACTTAAAGTAAAAGAGCTGTGCCTGCATGAAATTGATGAATTTAACATAGAAAGCAATGGGGCCATGAATTAGTGGTGTACATCCTATTACAGAGAATCATCAGAAATTTAATTTTTAGAAGTTGTACCTATTCCAATGAAAATTAGTCACATTTGATGTCAGTTATCATGTTTAATTATCTTTTTTGGATGAATAATTCTATATAAGTGAAATTTCAGCTCTTAAATTGACATAATAAGATATTTTAGCCTTTTATGGTCATACAACATGCATGCAGTTAAGACTTGACTCCAAGTTCTTATTTTTGCATAATTTGGGATTAAAATCAATAAAACATGTATATTATGACTTGTTTATGGTAAAAAAGTAGCTCTTGGTCAAATAATCCAATGATTTTTCAAGTTTTATTGGTTTTCTTATGGTAGCCTTTTACAATCTTGGCAATTGGTATATACTCATATAAGAATTCCAAAATCTCACTGTACATGCAATTTTGAACCAGTTTAGCAAGTTATTCAGCTGAGGGATATATAAATTGCTCTTAATAATCTATGTTGTACCACAGAAGTATGGTTTATACCAAAAATGTCCCTTTTCCAATTAGAAGAAAAAAGGGGGGACAATATTCTCAATTATGTCTTAGGTTTGGACTAATATATTTTTATTAAATGAACAACCTCTGGTAAAAATATGACTATTGGTAAGCACATTGCTATCCTAATAGAAATTAATAAATAGAACAATGATGTTGAGAATGAAAAAAGTATATTGGCTATTGGTAATATCCATATGCAGTTTTCTCTGAATAACCCATATGTTACTACCTGTCTAATTTGAGCTTGAAATTAGTAAAATAGTATTTGGACTGAAGCTTTAAATGTTTTTTATTGCTTCAAATAGATCATAAAATGATATAAAGTAAAGCTGAATTCAATATAGCAAGTTTGGTTCTGTTATAGGTGTAACACCACTAATTCGGGCCCGGCCAGAAAGCACATACCAGAAAGTAGTACATATTTAACACAAAAATAGTTCCTACGCATGAGTGTAACTTTCAAAATATGTAGAATATTTAGGTATTTTTGGTATCAAATGAAAGCTGAATGACTGGTGATCATTGTAGAACACATTTTGACTTATAATTTTGAATATTAAAAAAACTGCACCAAATTTTAAAATGAGGGTACATTTTGCCTGTTTGTCAGATCTGAAGTACCTGTTTTGGTACATCCGAAGTTCCGGGAACCAGTTCTTTCTTATATGCCATTAAAGGTATGTTGATTTTTTCAGTACAAGACACCATAAAGTGTTGCTTTGACATGCAATGATTGTCACTTTATTTGAACTTAAAGTAAAAGAGCTGTGCCTGCATGAAATTGATGAATTTAACATAGAAAGCAATGGGGCCATGAATTAGTGGTGTACTTCCTTAAACGTAGCAGTGATTTTGAAGAGTTATGTCCCTTAACCTATATCTACTTCCTGTTGTTGAATGTGCTGTTATTTGTTGGTTAATGATTTCTATAGGTTTTTGTTTTTGCTGAAATTAAATGCTTTAATGGAAAAAAATTGCATTGTGTTTATTAGTCCCCTACTGACTAAGTCGAAGGGGACTTTAGGTTTGCACTCTGTCTGTCTGTCTGTCTGTCCATCCCTCAGTCCGGCAAATCAGTTTTCCATACTTTTTAGCTCACCTGGCCCGAGAGGGCCAAGTGAGCTTTTCTCATCACTTGGTGTCCATCGTCCGTCGTTTGTCGTCGGCGTTTACTTTTTACATTTTGAACTTCTTCTAGAGAACCACTGAATGGAATGAAACCAAACATGGCATGAATGTTCCTTATGAGGTGCTGACCAAGTGTTGTTACTTTGTAGCGGATCCATCATCCAAGATGGCCGCCAACGGGGGACTTAGTTTAACATAGGACCCTATGGGAAATACATACAAATGTCTTCTTTTAGAGAACCACTGAATGGAATGAAACCAAATATGGCATGAATATTTCTTATGAGGTGCTGACCGAGTGTTGTTACTTTGAAGCCGATCCATAATCCAAGATGGCCGCCAGCGGGGGACTTAGTTTAACATAGGACCCTATGGGAAATACATACAAATGTCTTCTTTTAGAGAACAACTGAATGGAATGAAACCAAACATGGTATGAATGTTCCTTATGAGGTGCTGACCGAGTGTTGTTACTTTGAAGCCGATCCATAATCCAAGATGGCCGCCAGCGGGGGACTTAGTTTAACATGGGACCCTAATTGGGAAATACATACAAATGTCTTCTTTTAGAGAACCACTGAATGGAATGAAACCAAACATGGCATGAATGTTCCTTATGAGGTGCTGACCAAGTGTTGTTACTATGAAGCTGATCCATAATCCAAGATGGCCGCCAGCAGGGGACTTAGTTTAACATTGGACCCTATGGGAAATACATACAAATGTCTTCTTTTAGAGAACCACTGAATGGAATGAAACCAAACATGGCATGAATGTTTCTTATGAGGTGCTGACCGAGTGTTGTTACTTTGAAGCCGATCCATAATCCGAGATGGCCGCCTGCAGGGGACTTAGTTTAACATGGGACCCTATGAGAAATACATACAAATGTCTTCTTTTAGAGAACCACTGAATGGAATGAAACCAAACATTGTATGAATGTTCCTTATGAGGTGCTGACCGAGTGTTGTTACTTTGAAGCCGATCCATAATCCAAGATGGCCGCCAGTGGGGGACTAAGTTTAACATGGGACCCTATGGGAAATACATACAAATGTCTTCTTTTAGAGAACCACTGAATGCAATGAAACCAAACATGGCAAGAATGTTCCTTATGAGGTGCTGACCAAGTGTTGTTACTATGAAGCCTATCCATAATCTAAGATGGCCGCCAGCGGAGGACTTAGTTTAACATAGGACCCTATGAGAAATACGTACAAATGTTTTCTTTTAGAGAACCATTGAATGGAATGAAACCAAACATGGCATGCATGTTCCTTTTGAGGTGCTGATCAAGTGTTGTTACTTTGAAGCTGATACTTCATCCATGATGGCTGCCAGATGGGGACAATGTTTAACAAAGGACATACTGAATGGATTGAAACCAAACATGGCATGAATGTTCTTTATGAGGTGATGACTAAGTTTTGTTACTTTGAAGCTGATCCTTCATCCATGATGGCCGCCGATGGGGGGACTTCCTTTAACATAAGACCCTATGGGAAATACATACAAATGCTTCTTCTTGAGGTGCACTGAATGGAATGAAACCAAAACATGGCATAAATGTTTCTTATGAGGTGCTGATTAAGTGTTGCTACTTTGTTGCCGATTTACTGTTCAAGATGGCCACCAGGATTTTTTATTAAATTACAGGACCAATATTAAACCAAATTTGGCCTCACTCATTATTAGGGTATCTGTTATGATTTTAATCTATTTTTACATGATTTCCAAAACCAAAGTAGAATCAGGTGAGCGACACAGGCTCTTGAGAGCCTCTAGTTTTCTTCGTGCTTGAAGATACTGATTTGCTATTTGGTATATTGTTTTTATTATGACAAGTTACAGATAAAGTTCGAATTTTGTTTCAGTCTGATGATTTTGTGCAGAGTTATGGTCACATAAATAATCAGTTTTCCACACTTTTTTCCCTCATGCTTGAAGATATTGATTTGATAATTGTTATATAGTTTTATCATGACAAGTAACAGATCAAGTTCAAATTTTGTTCCGGTCTGATGATTTTGTGCAGAGTTATGGTCCTTGGACTTAGAAAATTCACTCAAATAATCAATTTTTACACTTTTTTTTGGTCATGCTTGAAGATATTGACTTGATATTTGTTATATAGTTTACACCATGACAAGTAATAGTTCAAGTTAACATTTTGTTCCAGTACAGTGAATTTTTAACCGGTAGGGGACTATGTATTGCCATATAATACTCTCAGAATGCTGGTTTATTATGTGTTGATTTTCTTTAAAAATCAGAAATTTGTGCTATTTACTGTATATTTGAAAAATTTTCAAGGCTTTCTAATTTAACCAAGGATGTATACAAATCCTTGATTAACAGCAAAATATTTTACAAAAAACTTTTACTTTAGAAATAAAGAAATGTGATATGATTGGCAATAAGACAACTATTCATTAAGATCAAAGAACAAAGATTCTGATATGAAAACAAGTCACCATGATTATGATCTACAACAAAGAGCAATACCCTGACCTGATAGTGATCTTTAACATGTTAAAAAGACCGTCCTGGGATGACAAAATGTGACATGATTAAAAAAAAATCAGTAGCATGATTTCTACAAGGATTTGTATAGTAAGACTTCTTACTATACAAATCCTTGATTTCTACAACATTTCACTCAAAATGATTATGGCAGACAATAAATAACCAATAGCATAAAATAAAGTCACATATTTGATTTGATTTTGATTTGATTTTTGGTGTTTTAACGCCACTTTTAAGCACCGCATTTGGGCTATTTCGTGGCGGCCAGTTTTTATTGGTGGAGGAAGCCGGAGTGCCCGGAGAAAACCACCGACCTTCGATAGGAAAACTGACAATCCTAGTCAATTAAGATTGGAGTCGAGTGAAACCGCACGAGCGGGGTTCGAACTCACAACCTCAGTGTTGACTGGCTAGTGATTACAGTAGTAACTACTTAAACCACTCGGCCACCGAGGCCCCTCACATATTTGAAGAATGTAGGGGAAAAATCTGGTAGATTTTTTAAGTTATGACCAAATTTTGTACATGTACACAATTAAGGGAAAAAATGACAGGACAGTTATTTGAAATTTCATATTTTATGTCAAAAATGTAGTGAGTACCAATTTGAAAAAAGATCATGAAGGTTCAGAATATTTCAACATCTTTTAATCAGAAACAGTTTGAAAGAATGCATTTGAAAATTTTATGGCTTTGGTAAACATCTGCTGGTTTAATAAACCTCTGCAATGCAAATTGTAATCATACATTTTCTCTAAAAGTTAGAATACATGTATGGGATGTGATATTTCAAAATTTGTATTTATTGCAATCGACTAGTTTGTACAGAATATAACACTAAAAATATTGAGAAGAACGAACATTTATCTCAAAGACAAAGTTGTTTTTATGAAGTTGAAGTCCAATCAACTTGAAACTTAGTACATATGTTCCCTATAGATCTTTCTAATTTTAATGCCAAATTAGAGTTTTGACCCCTATTTCACGGTCCACTGAACATAGAAAATGATAGTGCGAGTGGGGCATCTGTGTACTATGGACACATTCTTGTTGAATATAACATTCGCTGGAAAACCGGCTTCAGGCTTTGGACACATAAAGAATTCTGATCATTTCCATTAGTGATATTTAGCATAACTGTCCCATTGCCATCACTTGCCATCCTTCTTCTTTTGTCCCTCACCCATTAACTTAATTTTTTTCTCCTCTGAAACTACATGGTCAAATGGAACCAAACCTGGCCACATATATCCTTATATTATCTTGTTTATAAATATGTCCAATGATCCCGCATGTCAACCTACATAACAGCCAAAGCTTAAAAGAAGAACCCGAGGTACAATGCAAGTACATGTATTTTAGTTTCTTGTGTACAATTTGGAGTTTAGTATGGCGTTCATTATCACTGAACTAGTATATATATTTGTTTAGGGGCCAGCTGAAGGACGCCTCCGGGTGCGGGGATTTCTCGCTGCATTGAAGACCTGTTGGTGACCTTCTGCTGTTGTCTGTTCTATGGTCGGGTTGTTGTCTCTTTGACACATTCCCCATTTCCATTCTCAATTTTATTATTGTCTATTAAATTATATACTGTACATGTGCTGTTATGGGTAAAAAAATCAAAGTGCTGGATAGCACCTGTGGAAAGTTTGCAACGGTAGATGTATATTATTTGAAAATAGGTTGTAGATGTGTATTATTTCAAATATGTATTTAATCACAGCCTTGATGTTTTTTCCTAAACCTTTGTCTCATCAGCAATTATCAAAATCACTTTTTTTCATGTGTTTGTCATGTAAAATTTTGATAATTTCTATTGCAACCTTAAACTGTAGATTTAAAATAATCAAATATACAGAAAGCTCTGTTAATTTCTTTCTGTGCCCATCCCATGTAAAGGGCCTGTGATTTTTGTATTTTTAATTGATTTAGGTCCTTCATATTTGTTTTTAGTAAATTGTATTATTATTAATTAAGCAGTTAGTTTTCTTGTTTGAATTGTTCCACGTTTTTTTATATCAGGGCCTTTTATAGCTTTCTACATGTATATGGTATGAGTTTTTCTCATTGTTGACGACCGTATGGTGACCTATAATTGTTTATATATCTTCCTCCTTTGAACTCTTTTGGATAGCTGGTTCATTCGCCAAAAAATACAACATCTCTTAATTTAAATTAGACAGCAAACTTAAATCAATACAACTGTAATGAAAGTTAATTTATATGAAAAGCTTTAATCAACAATGGCAATATGTAGACAGGAATAAAAAAGTTAATATACACTAATTCGTAGTGTACTTAATTTTATAACCATGTAATACATTTTAGTTGCTGCTGTGAAATTCATCATTGAGGCAATGACATTTTGAGATTTTTGGTTTTCAGCCATTCATTTGATATAATCTTTGCCTCTGTGTTGAGTTGACACATTGTTAATTATAGTTCAATCTTAAAGAATCCTACTGACCCAGGAACACAGTGTTAGGTTCATACTGTAAATTCTGAAATTGAATGTCAAGATCAGTATGATGCTTCTGCGTACAAAGTTTTGTCAATTAAAGTGCTTAGTCCCAGTTCAAAACGTATGCACCAAACACAAACCAGACACTGTTTAACTATCATAGGGGTTAATTGAGAAAGGTCAGTGGTATATGATACACCCCAAGCCCAAAATACAACAGCATTTTAAAGTACAAAAGATATGACCCAGACACGAATTGCACAAGGTTTTACTATCATAGGTATCAAAGGACAAAGTCGAGGTCAAATTGATCCGAATTTGGGATATGAAATGTCCAAAGACCATGATGCAACTGCCTACTGAGTTTGATAACCAAAAGTTTAAAGCACAAACTTTAAGAAACGGGCACAAATTGGATAAAGTCAACTATCATAATCATTTCAGATTCTATAATTTAACCTTTTCTACGAGTACTTAAATTAGAAAAAATTTAAGTATAGTGTTTTATTCATGCATCCATCTGTTTTATTAGTATGCACTGTCATTAACATAGGTACATGTACATGTATATAAAACATTATGTGCTATACATATTTATAACGTGATAAGTAAACAACAAACTAATAGTATAAATGGGACTTATATTATAATAGTCCCAGGTAAAGCACTGTCTATATTACATGGACACATGTTATTTAATAATTTCTACAGCACTTGTCTTGGCACACTGGGTTATTCTAAGAAGTAGTAGCTGACTTGTTTGATTTTAATACACTTGACTGTACTAAAGTTATCCTTATCCTTGTAAAAATTTGTGTAGTTGTTAATCCTAACACTTATAATTAGGAGGCTGTGATATGTGTGAACTGTCGTTGGGTCAATGTTTTTCTGCTGTCAGTTTGGATCCACTTAGTCCTTATATCCGCATTGGAATGTTAAATAGCAAGTATTTCGATGCTGAATTGAAAGTTTATAAATGTTTTTTGGCATCAAAACCTTCCGATCGATGTTTTGACAAAAAACAATGCACTTTTCTATCAAAGCCGGTATTTACCTTTACTCATCCTTGGTGTGTGTGGGGGACCTCGTTGGCCGAGTGGTATAAGTAGTTACTACTGTAATCACTAGCCAGTCAACACTGAGGTTGTGAGTTTGAACCCCGCTCGTGCGGGTGCACTCGACTCCAATCTTAATTGACTAGGATTGTCAGTTTTCCTATCGAAGGTCGGTGGTTTTCTCCGGGACCTCCTGCTTCCTCCACAAATAAAAACGGACCGCCACGAAATAGCCCAAAAGCGGTGCTTAAAAGTGGCGTTTTTTTTCTGACTTTTGAAAAAAATACTTTTTTATATACGAATTTTATTTTAGTCCGATTTTGTGAGGCCGATTATGTTGTAGGCCGAGTTTGTTATAGTCCGAGTTTGTTATGGGCCGAGATATTAGGATACTTTCGATACACTCTGGCTTTTACGTCTTTAATAAACATTTGTAAATATCGTAGTAATAACTAGCGCCGGAAAATGTTCATTCATGAAATATTCTAAACACGGTATTTATTTTCTCTTTAACCGGAGGACGGGAGGAGACTTCTGAAATTATTCAGGGATTATTGTAATCCCGTCGGGAGGTTCACATATATGAATTTCACGCATGTCTGGGGAATCCCGTAGGAAAGCATACTGGTAACATACAAAATGGCTGACAGTTCAAATAGATATAAGAAGATGTGGTATGAGTGCCAATGAGACAACTCTCCATCCAAGTCAAAATTTATAAAAGTAAACCATTATAGGTCACAGTACGGTCTTCAACACGGAGCCTTGGCTCACACCGAACAGTAAGCTATTAAGGGCCCCAAAAAATTACTAGACAAGTGTAAAACCATTCAAACGGGAAAACCAACGGTCTAATCTATATAAAAAACGAGAAACGAGAAACACTTATGAACCACATCAACAAACGACAACTACTGAACATCAGATTCCTGACTTAGGACAGGTGCAAACAAATGCAGCGGGTTTAAACGTTTTAATGGTACCAAACCTTCACAACAATAGTGTAACATCACAACATAGAAAGACACACTATAAAATATATGCATAATTTATATAGGTCACATCTTTTACCATTTACAAACGTAAAAATTTGAAAAGATTACGATATTCTTAACAATAAGAGTTCTTTAATTTAATGAATAAATGTTAAAAAAAAAACCCACACACCTCGAAATAAATATCAGGCCGTTTTAATTTTCAATGAGTTAAACATAGAAACTGCTGTCTCGTGTTGATGTGATTTTATCTTCCGCGCAGGGCAGATCCGCGAAGTAGTGTTTGTGATTCCCATTTTCAAAATGAAGTTGAATTCATTTGAATTGTCGGTGAATATTCAGTCCATTTTTATTCAAGCTGTAAGCTTATCAAAATAGAAGTAACTCAAAATTTCAAAAGCATCTTCCTAGAATTAGTATTCAAACACTAGTACTACATTATCTAGGAGTAGACATAGTAAGATAGTCTGTCCAACTTCCGGTTTGAGGCCGATTCCGCATAGGAAAGTATATTGTTATAGCAAGCTATAGCAAACTTTCCAAAAATAACGTAGAGAATCAGTAAATTATACATACATATAGATTTCATTGAAATCCTAGCAAAACAGATGTCTCTTTAAATTTATAATTTGTTGAACAAAAACTTAATTTTTGACAGGGAACATTTTAGAATGCATAGTAAACATATAATCCATGGAATCCGATCACTAGATGTTTCGTGAAATTTAAAATGTTTGAATAATCGCCATTCAGGAACAGAAACTCCTGTAAGGAGACGACTGGCAATTTTAGCCAATCAACATATTAATAGATCTTGTGTTGAAAGCCATTCTTCCTATGTATATTATCTATGAATTATGATTTTTAAGTAAAGGACAAAAAACAAACAAAAATTGGTTAAAATCGTCATTTAGGGGCGACAACCACTATACGGAGTGGAAGATGATTTTCGGCCATGTTAACTTATTTGTAGACACTTTCTCTCTTTCTTTTATAGTTTTTAAGATAACGGGGGGAAAACAAAACTATTAAGTAAACATTGTCATTTAGGGGCAAAATCTCCTAGATATCATCAGACACAGTTTAAAAATACTGAATACCCAAAGGATGATTATGATTAACGTCAATTTGGTTCTAATTGGCCCAGTAGTTTCAAAGGAGAAGGTTTATGTAAAATTAACAAACGACGACAGCGATGGATGACGACAGACGACGGACGCCAAGTGACAACAAATGCTCACACTGGGTCTTTGGGCCAAGTGATCGAGCTATAATGACCTAATTTAAGAATAGTTACCATTGAGTCTGGCGCAACCTGCCCGACGTACATGTCAACTGCAAATACTTTATAAATTAATCTAAAGAATCTTGAAAACCTTCTAAGTTTTAAACCGTAGTTCCTGTGAAAACATGACCATGATGTGTAGAAAATGTAAATAACCTCTTTGACCTTTAATGGTTTACTTTTACAAATTGTGACTTGGGTGGAGAGTTGTCTCATCTTTTTATATCTGTGTTCATAGATACCAGGATTAAAACTTTGTACGCCAGACTCGCGTTTCGTCTACGAAATACTCATCAGTGACGCTCGAATAAAACAATTAAAAAGAGGCCAAATAAAGTACAAAGTTGAAGAGCATTGAGGACCCAAAATTCCTAAAAGTTTTGCCAAATACACCTAAGGTAGTCTATTATTGGGGTAGAAAATCTTTATTATTTCGAAAATTCAAAGTTTTGTTAACAGTTAATTTATTATTATGACCATATCAATGATAATTCATGTCATCTGCAGAAGATACACAATAACAATCTATAAAGATTCCGTAAATTTTTCAAAAACCAGTCAGCAGTTTAGAATAAGATGTGGGTACATTATGCCTTCTTTTTACTGTTGAGTACAAATTTGTTTGTCTTGAATTTGTGTTTTGCTATGGGAAACATAAAAAACTTGAAAAAAGACATTGGTTTTAAAACTAAAAAAGGAAATGCATAATGACTAGTCGTCAAAACGGAGATAAGTTGTAGCAAGATTCGCGTGTTTTCAAAAAGCCTAATGAAAATTTAGCGCTTGATAAAATGAAAAGACCTATACTGAGCAAGATCACAACCCCTTATTTATATTAGATACTTTGATTCAGTCCCATCACATAAAATTGTTCACCCATTTCAGTGGATCAGAAAAAAATGAAAGTATCCCAGTGTCTAGAATTAATATGTGATGACATGTGATAATTTTAAAATGACAAGTTTTCCTTGAGAATTATGGTCCCTCAATTCAGATTAGTCTGATTAATGACCAAGATGATCTTAACTTCAGTTTTGATAAATGGAGATCCTGATCAAAATTTCAAAAGGATTAAAAAAATTAAAAATGCAATCCTCAGTACACACTCCTTGACTTCATTGCGTTGTGTATAATTACCTAGGTCTTGTATATCATTTAACAAAACTAGTCCATATTTATTACATATTTAACATCTTTAAGACGTTCTTTTAATAATAGATTTTAAATCCTTCTACAAAAGGAAGGGTATCATCGATACATATCATATTTACTGTTGTTATAAGTATAAAAAAAAATCGAAATTGTCATTTAAATCTTTACGTTAATAATAGTCAGGTATAAACATGCTCTGATTCACTTTCTGGTAGGTTGACATTTTGAACAAATGAAGGAACAAGACTTTTGCTGTAAAACAGCTGAGTTGAATTGTTGAATCAGGAGGTAAATGCATTTTTTTCATAGATTTTACTCTACATTTCAGTTCGACCACATAAAACATAGGCGGCAAACGTACACTTTATAGTTAAAGAATGGCCTCAGCAGGGACAACGAGGAAAGTTTCTGATCGCACATTTTAAAGAAAGACTTTTATTTGATTTTCCCAATGTACAACAAAATTACTTTCATCATTTTCATAACATTATTTGCTCAAATTAGAATAAACGTGAAAACAATTTAATAGAATGTATCCCTTCAATGCCTACATGATATTAAATGCTAGCGAAACAAACGTAACTTAAGGAAAGTCCTCCCTGATTAAGTTTCAAATCGCAAAAGATAAATTAAGTTCTGTTTTAACATCAAAATACATTCATTTGGATGTCTGTCTTTATATGCAGTATATAACGTCACAGTACCCAAATTGCACCTATTCAACAAAAATACCTGCGGAAATCTTTCAAGTTTTCTATGAGACTAAACAATTTGTATTTTTATGATTTGACATTATATACGTCTTACAACATAGGTAAATATATTTAAATATACATAAAACGTTCACAGCATTTATCAACAGATGAAGCATTCCCTGGAAAAAGTAAATCTACGGAAACGTCTCTATGCGACGTTCTAAAAATGTCATCTTTTAAAAATGAGCAAATTAAACATGTTACAAGCATCCATTTCTTAAAAAATGAATAGTAAGCATGGAATAATGTCAAATTGTTCAAAATATTTGAAGAAATAAAACAAAACATCTGTTATTCGATTTTTTAAGGATGTGAATTTAAACATGGATGCAATTTGGGTACTCCTCATTACAGAATCATGGATCGTTTGGAGGTCGGTTCAAACCCATTTTTCTATGATTCAATATGGATTCAAAATTAAATTGGTGCAACTAAATAGTAAAAAAGGATACGTCTACAAAATAAACACAGAATGGAAACGTTTGTCTGGATCATAAAAATACGTAGGTGAAAAACTGTCAAAATAGGTGCAATTTGGGTACCCCCACGTTATACTAGTAAATCTCATTGAAAAATCTCGGTTAACAAACTGTCAATATAGCTGCAAGAAAAGAACATAAATGTTTTATCAAAGCATCGAAATCCTAAGCAAGAATATCCAGTGTTGAAAATAATCCTTTTTTAGCTCACCTGGCCGAAAGACTAAGTGAGCTTTTTCTCATCACTTGGTGTCCGTCGTTTGTCGTCGTCCGTTAACTTTTACAAAAAAAATCATATCCTCTAAAACCACTGGACCGAATTTAACCAAGCTTGGATACAATCATCATTGGGGTATCTAGTTCAAAAATGTGTCCGATGGCTCCACCTGCCAACCAAGATGGCCAACATGGCTAGAAATAGAACATAGGGATGAAATGCAAGTTTTGCCTATTATTTTGAAAACCGCTATAAAAGTTTAATTCTGACCGGAGCAACTCTGTTCAGAATGTTGAGCCCTATCTATAATCCATTTGAGCAAAAACTGTCAGACGACCTCTTATAGAAGTTATTGACCTTAAATGACGAATTTTACCATTTTTTATTTTTTCCCCTATTATCTCGAAAATTATAATAGATAGATAAAAACTTTAAATAGCAAAACTGATCATCAAGACAAGGTCTACAAATGAGTCAAACATGACCAACATTGTAAGTGGAGTCCTGGTTGAAGTTATTGCACTTTAATGACGATTTATTTCCATTTTGCCATTTTTGCCTATTATCTTGAAAACTGTAATAGATAGATAGAAACTTTAAATAGCACATATGATCAGCAAGACAAGATCTACAAACAAGGCACACGGTTGAAATCTTTAGTCGACTCATTATTGGAGTTATTGCCCTTTAAATTTTTACATGTTTTTGCATTTTTTGTCTTTTATCTTGAAAACTATAATAAATATATAGAAACTTTAGAAAGGAAATATTATCAACAGGATAAGATATACCAATATGTCAACATGACTGAAATTGTCAGTTAACTGTTGATAGAGTTGTTCTCCTTTAATGGTGATTTTTACTGAAAAGTGGCCATTGTTGAAGATGCAAGTGAGCGACACATGCTTTTTAGAGCCTCTTGTTATATGATGCTTTCTGTTTATCTAAATTGTTCGGATCAAACGGTACATTTTCATACGGTTCTCATATCATGTAAAAATATATATTGCACACAAATAAAACAGAAATTAAACTATAAACAAAACGAGAATCCATTCTAAAAACATATTAAAAAAGAAATAAATGAAAGCAATGAAAATAAATTTCTTTGAAAAAAACAAAATTTTACTAAAAACAACAATAACATTTTCTTGTACAATAAAATAAAAAAATATGAAGTAGATTAATATATGATTAGAATAACTTTGCAAATAAATAAAACATATGATGTAAAATGCGCGTAATTGACCATTTCTTGGAAATAGAGAGGGGTGGCCATACAGAAAATTCAATGAGACAGTATGAATTGTAAACATTGTTACTGTAACATCATGTATTTAAATGAGGTTGAAGATGAAATTTATATTTTCTTAACATGTGAAATGAATAAATCTTTACATACACAGTTTGAAAAGATATAAATACTACTCACCCAGGAATTGCAGAACCATGTAAAAATGATAGCATGAAAAACGTAATCATCGTTTAATATCATGAAACTTGCTGTTCTATTCATTTAAAAGTCGTTTGCACTGAGGATAGTGGACTCTACACCGACATAAGTATTTTCACTTTCATTACTATATTATTATTACTGTATTGTTAATATGCCTTCACCACCTCGGTGTATACACGTCCATTCCCTAATAAATAAATTTAAAAAAATGAAATCAATAACTTTATTTACTTGAAACGTTTGCATCTAGCTTGTACAGGACTTTAATAGGAACACATTATTGATGTTTATTTTAAGTCGTTCATTCAGTCTTTTAGAGAAGGTAGGTGAAAAATGGACCATGCAATCTGACAACATATGCGCATTTTGAAAATTTATATGTCTTTAGTGGTGGTCGAAGCCATTTTTTGATAAAATCGTTGTATATATGTAACTTCATAATTTTGAAATTCCAACTATGCAATTCTTAGTTTGTAACAGTTTAATGAACTATGTGACCAATTCTTGTTAATGGGCGGATATACAAAGACAAGGGCATACCTTGATTAGTTATCCATTCAGTGTATGGCAATCATACAATACCTCCCTTATTGCATAAAAAGAGTTTGAACCCATTCGTGATAGTGACCGTAAAAATTATGCAGTGTCCATTTCTGTCGTTCTTCCTTAATGCTCTGTTAATGTAGACAATTATCTGAACAAATAATGAGTTGACGTTCTTATGGCTCGCAACATAGGTCTCACATATTTAAAACATTTTAACCCTGGTGCCCCTAACTTGTTACAAAGCGCATTATATTTCTGTTCATTTGTAATTTTTGTTGCAAATTTAAAATTGCAAAATGTGCATATCTCAAATATACATAAACATGTTGCAAGTATGGAGCATCGATGTTGTAGAGTTGCAATTTTTATGTTTAAATAACCGGTTAAAAATTGCAAAATTAGAATTTCAAATTACTGAGTTACCTATTTATATTTTAAGGATTGCAATTTTGTAATTTTGAACCCTTTGCCTCTCCATACATAATTGTTCCATCTTTGTTTTATATGGATTGTCGTCTCATTGGCAATCGTACGTGTACCATATTTCTTTACTTTATATACTTAGTGATATCTTAAATAGATTACTGACGCGGTTATGTTTATGTTTAGGTCATGGCATCAGGTACATCTGTACCATGTGGACCTTGTAAAAGAGGAAAAGCAAACACTAAAGCTGACATCTGGTGTTTCAACTGTCATGAAGGATTATGCTCAACATGTTCAGGTCAACACAAAAGATTTAAACCAACTGGTGATCACAAGACCATTGATATTGAAAGCTATAAAGCTCCCATTGACTCCATCAAAACAAAATGTGACAAACAAAATCAACAACTCAAGTTGTACTGCCCCAGTCATCTAATGCCTTGTTGTGATGAATGTATTTCAAATCATCATTCAAAATGCACCGGAATAAAAAGTTTAGCGAGTGTAGTGGAGACAGCCAAAATAGAACAATCAAAAGCATCTGTAGAAAAAGATATAACCTCCATCTTACTTTTCTTGAATAAAATGGAAATTCAAAAAACAAAAAACATAATGAAAGGAGAACAGCAACATAAAAGCATAAAGGAATCCATTGATACAATTCGGGAGGAAATAAATAAACATTTAGACCACCTAGAGACAAAGCTATACAAAGAAGCAGATACTGTATGGAGTCAGGAAAAATCAAACTTAACAGGTTTAATTACTGAAATTGCAGAAAAAAAGAAAAACTTAAAGGAAATACAACATGATTTGCAGACAGTCACAGCACAAAGTTCAAAATTTCACTCATTTCTAGGGATGCATCAGATTGAACAAATAGTACATCGATATCGATATGTTGTAGATATTGAAAACAATGAAATGGCAAGGGAAGTTGAAATCAAAATAAAGCAAAATGATGAGATAGAAGATATACTCAGGGAATTAAGATCATTAAAGTCCTTTGGAGAGGTGAAAGTTGTTAAAACTAAATTAGCAATGAACAGAAAAACGAGTGTGGGTATGGAACCACAAGTAGCATTACAAGAACAATCCAATATAAACACCATGACAATGAATATTGAGACAAAGATCAAGATCAAGATTGGGAAGTATATTAATGACATGATTTGTCTGATGGATGGGAGATTGATAGTAGTTGAACAGGGTGGTAAAGTTAACCTACTTTCTTCTGATGGCAAACTAGAGAAACAATTACCAATAGCAAGTGGACCCTGGAATGTTACACAGATCAATCAGGACACTATTGCTATGAGTTATCCTCAGGAGAAACACATTAAGGTGTTCAATATGGAGAATGAAACCGTTGCCAAAGTTATTACATTAGACAAACCGGTACTATGCTATGGTTTATCATGCTGCAATGATTCCCTTGCTGTGGGTATAAGAAATCGTGAAATCCGTATTATAGACTTAGATGGAAATACACTAAAGTCAATACATGTTCAGAGTGAATCATACCTGTATAACCTTGTTTATTGTAATGACAGAGTAATCTTTAGTGACTATACGGGTAAAGCAGTATACTGTTATGAAGACTCAGGTAAACTTGTCTGGGAATATAAACAGGATTTAGACGGACCACAAGGACTTTGTATTGATACTTTCGGTAATATTATTGTTGTAGATTATTGCTCTGATAGAATAATAGCAATATCAAAAGATAGAAAGAATAGTAAAGTAGTGCTCAGAAAAGAGGATGGATTGGAGGACATGAATTTTATTTGTTATAAAAATAATGAATTTTATGGTTTTATTTGTGACAACATGTGCGTTCTCTTGGCAAAGTTCAATCTATCTTATGAACAGTGATATTATTTGCAAATACAACTATGATAATCAACTGAATTTAAACAAAAGTATATTATCATTATGTTTAAAGACATGTGGCAAGTGACACATTAAATTTACCGGCCAAAATGAATTATTATGAATGAGGGTCTGGATGGGGATCTCTATTTATTTATTATTTAAATTTTTATACCATTTTTCTCTTTTCTTTATTTGTTTTGACCCTTTTTCTCTATTATACATATGTCAGCACCCCGTCATGTCAGCACCCCATCATTCTCTATTCATTGTTATTATGACCTACTTTATTTATATTCCTTTTCGTCCTTTATTCTGCACTGCGTGCCCATAATTCCATATTCTGTAAACCCTATCCAGACCCTCATGCCAGTTACAATTGTTAAACGTACTAAATTCCGTCAATAAAGATTATTTGTGAAGATAGAAGCTACAAATACTGTATAACTATTATCATTCGTTTGGTACCAATTTTTGTAGATTACATGGATAAGAATTAACAAGGACTTTAAATGTTCAATGACATAAATCTACTAGTGGCTTGAATGCAATCTTTTATTTAACAATGAAATCAATAATCCAGGCAAATGCATTTTGTCTTGAAACCACGAAGATTTTTACCCATGAATATGTTATGAATACACAGTACTGTAGTAGTTCTAAATGTACAAATCGTTAAGGGCGAAGAATGTAAAGTATATATTATAGTATCGTAGCTAGATCTTTTTGAACTACTAATTGTAATGAATTGTAATACAAATGAAAATGCAATTAACAAATTTAAAATTTAAACAAGATGACGGGCACTGATGGAGTTGTAACAGAGACCAAATATTATCAGTAATATGAATACTAGGTCAATGTCAAATCATTAATGCCAGACAGCCACGTAAACCTTCATTTTATGCACTAAAATATTCAACCTATCAGTGGCAGATCCAGAAAGTTCTCAAAGTGCCAATTGACTATCATATTTAGGCAGAGCAAAACCTAAAACATAATAGTTCTATTTAAATAAATGTCATATAAAAATCAATATTCTGGTAAAATTTCAATCTTTATATAGCTGTCCTGTATAAAACATATGCCCTTTGAGCGCATTGATATACAGAAACCTCTTTTTGGACACCTTTGAAAAAACTTGAGCGGAGTACCTATATATTGGTAGCTGCTATGACCTTGACCTACAGTATACCTCATAATGAATAGGCTTTTTTACCTATCATACATATCGTCCTAGGTATGAGTTTTCTTTAAATAAGACAAGGAAAACAATTTCTTTAGGAAAGCATTTGTTTTAAAAAATCGACTCTGAGTAACAATAGCCTTCAACTTTTGACTAATTGACCAAACAACCTTAATCATTATCATCCATTTGTATGAGGGTTTTTTTTTAAATAAGCAAAGGAAAATCAAGATTTCATCCAGAAAGAACTTATGTATGATGGATAGTCTGAAGGAGGAACTGACAACGCGAATAGTATTTACTCCTACATTTTTTTTCTTGGGAACCATAAATACATTATGCCCTTTATTTATCATAATTTATTTGGTTACATCCTCGTTTATTGATCTCTGGTGGATAGGTATCTTACTTTTATAAATATATCGAAAAATAACCCATTTTAAAACGAAAACTCGTCTAAACAAAACCCAGAGTAAAATGAAAATATTTCTAAACAGAGCTCTTATTCTGAAGTTAACTTGTGTAAACTGAACCTCCGGCTTATACAAAAGGGGGATCGAATTACACAGGTTTCACTGACAATTATTGTAGATAAAATAATAAATGCTGAAAGAGATGTTTATTCAAAATTTACTCTTTTTTGTATGAACTTTTATGAAATTGCGATATTTTTCAACTTATCACTCAAAACATGCAAAATTTAACACATCTTTTCTGTTTTTTTTTTACCTTTATTACTAAAGCTATTGTTGATAATATTTTATTGTCTATCAGAATAAAACTGTCTTGTCTGTCTATTGTATCTATTATTATATTACTAACAAGAAAATATTAAAGTGTTTACAACTTTACCTGGAAATGGTAATTTCAGACAAAATTTTATCATGAAAAACTAGTATTTTATCAATTAAAACATTCATATGATTCTCCAAAAAAAAAATGGAAAGCACCACAGACCACAATAACAGAGGCACAAGCTTGGTATAAATATCATAACTAAGTATGATTGTCATGTTTTCGAATAAAAGATGAGTGGTTGAAGCAGTTTCCCTACGGTTGCCTTTCTTAATTAAGATTGATCCTAGTTTCAACTTGAGTAATTTTGATTCAAAGAACTGATATTTTTTAAAACAGCTGGTGGTCACAACAAAATAAAATTGATCACTTGCAAAAACATTGTTAAACTTCATATTAACGACAGGACATGATGTATTAGTTCATAGCATACAATCACAAAACGAACATAAAAAGATTAAAATAACAAAAATAGCGAACTCCGAGGAAAATTCTAAACGGAAAGTCCCTAAGCAAATGGCAAAATCAAAAGCTCAAACATATCATCGAACTGTCATATTCCTTACTTGGTACAGGCATTTTCTTATGTAGAAAATGGTGGATTAAACATGGTTTTATAGCTAGCTAAACCTCTCACTTGTATGACAGTCGCATAAAATTCCATTATATTGACAACGATGTGTAAACAAAGCAAACAGACATAATAGGTAAAAATGTCAAAAATAGGGGTACAAAAGTCAACATTGTGTTTTAACCTTGATCATTATAAAAACGAGCACATATATCAACAAAGATAAACAAAAAGGCATATAGACTAAGCACATTAGCAAAAACGAAAGACAAGAATACAAAAATTACCATAGCACAATAACACAATCACGGGATGTGAAGTACCGAACCACGTCAAATGGATATCGCAAAAAATAGACTAAAAAGTAAAAAAAAAAAAAAAAAAACAACACATTTCTGTTCCCTCATCTCATATCTATAATTTTGGTTGTAACATGACAACAGTTATTGTATAGTAATTTTATTGTTTAATATAAAATCGATATTAATAAATACATAAACAAATTACACATAATGTTTCTAATTGTAAAGTTCTCCAAATGTTGCAGGTCTGTGAAGATCGTCCGCAGGTGTTTTAGTCTATTTTTGTGAAAGTGTCCTATTTATTTATTCTTTATAGGAAAATCCTGTCTTCCATATTTAAAAAGAACACGTATATCTTGTAATCTGGATAGAAAGTTTTTAAGCTTATTAACTAAGACTGATATGAAGTATCTCAAAGGTTTGCACGTAACATCATGGAAACGAAATTCTAATGTACTCATTAAAGCTGCTGAGATATTGAAATATTTGAATTAATGTTCAATGCTAAGGTAAATGGTATCGTTATTTGTTAATGGTTGTCAGCTTCAGTAGAGGAATAAAAGAACATTTCAAATCAAAAGTAAAACACTAAAAGGTGTAACCGTATGATCTATAGATATGTAGCCCGGTTTGTTTTTATCTGAATTTTGTTTAAAATCTCCTTCACCACCAAGAAAAATATCAGACACGAAGTATTTATCAGATGAAAATTTGTATACCCAAGTCTCTAACTTTAATTTTATTTATTTTTACAACATTTTTACTTTCCTGAATGTAGCTTTCAATTTATCAAAGTGTTGTCATTAAATCCACCAGGTGTTATTTTGACAAAATTAAGCTTACTAACCCTATGTTACTACGGTATATGATATTCTTTATTTGTGTGTGATTGCCATTTTTTGTTAATTTCAAAACAACAATTCAAAATTAAGTAAAAACGTTTTGCAGTCAAATGTCAATTGTCCATCTTTGTTTGATTAAAACCCTACATTTTATAAGAAAAATACGATACTTGACCACCAGTTTTACATATCTCTTAATGTCATCTGCCTGGTGTTTCTGTTTCGATATCACTTGTTTTTTTTTACTTTACCTGTAAAATATAAACACAATTGTAACCATGGTAATGTTAAGAATTTATAATTGGCCAGTGTCAGTGAAATTTTGTTTTTTTTTAATTTCATTTTTTGTAAATAACATATAAATTGGTAAAAAACACAAAGATCTCGAATATCTTCTCCAAACTATGATACCTATTTGACCATAATTGTACTCCTTACGAAACATTCTGGATTTCCATCTAAAATAAGGTTTGAGATATAGCTTCATAAATAAACACTAAACAGTGTAAATAACAGTGTTTACCCTTGTCATTTTATATCAGTGTTTTAAAATTTTTACCTAATACGTTACTGGGACAATCTTTCGACCAACTAATCGCTTAACTAGTATGAAAGCGAATGTTCAAAGATAATGTATCCTAAGTTTGACGGGAGTAAATAAAATGTGGTCATTGTTGGTTTTCCTTCAATCTGTAGTAAAACGCTTGCAAAAGTTGGACGTCCTTTTCATAACTGTGTGCGATGTATGAATTTGCAATCACGTCTGTTCAGAAAGCGGATATTAGATTTGATGCCTCGTGTAGAGAAAATGTACCACTTTTTTACGTAAATAACCCTTCAGCAACTTTTTGGATGTGGCCTGTTGCAGGGATTTATTTCTGTCTCTATCAAATATACCCTCATTTTCAAATAGTATTTTGTTTTATGTTTAATTATTTTCCGATAGTATTGATTTTTGATGATCAAGGAATATTTCATTTTTGTGGATACATTATATCAATGGTTTTGACAAATTCTACAATACATCCCTACAGAAAAAAATTTCAACAGTCAAAATTTTCAAATTTACATTTACCTATGAAATCCACGAAAATGATTACCCTATTAATATTTTATGAATATTTAGTAATAACATGTTATAGTATATTCGAATGTGATCGACACAGAAAATTTTCACACTCAACGAGAATAATGAAATTCATAGAATTACTTGTCCAGCAGATCTGAAAATAGCATCCATATTACAAATCATCATTATGAGGCAAAAATATTAAGAACATTTCTAACCAAAAGAAAGAACATTTAAAGCATGCTGACATATCCCATGCATGTCACCTACCCGTTTCTCAAAAAAAAGCACATTAAGGGTGGGGGATGACAGTGATCTGACGGCAAATGTTTATCTATTAACATTTAGGTAAGATCTGTTGTTATGTTATTTCAGATAGTGATTTTCTTACATGCAATTTATATAAGAGATATAAACAAGTCCCTTCTATAAAAAAAGATACCCCAAGTAATATTTCTGATTATTAGACATATCTGAGGTTTCGATGAGTGAAGACAAAATCAGCATGATCCAAAAAGTATCGGATGAAAAAATAATGCCCTTTCCCAGTCCAAACAAAATTCATCATTATTTGATTAGCAAACATGTCTGTGATTTTGATGTGCACAAACCCTCAGATCATTGACCCTGAAAATTATAATACATTTCGACGTTTTAATTTGATTTAGGTTGCATATGACTGTAAAAAAGAAATATATTTGAATGAAATGGCATCATCAAAACATATAAAATCTAAATATTGCAAGTATAATCAAAATCGGCACTTGAATCTAAAAAGAATTTTGTTTGTGATACTGTTTTGTAGTTCTTTTTTCACATGTTGTGAATGCTAATAAAGTTTTATAAAAAGCCATTCTAAAAAGGAAAGACTTCCTTTCAGCCTCCTCTTTTTTTTTGGTTGAATGAATAGGTGAAACACATAGGTAAGAGGGGATCATATAAAAGTGTTCTCACAAGCTGTTTAACCTGCACATTAAATATTCTTAATTTAAAAATTATCAAATGTTCAAGTACAGAGATCCAAATATTTTCAAATTGGACTGTCATATTGTTGGAAAATTGAATCATTCATGTATTGTTGTGATGGTATAAATGGGGCAATATCATAGCACATTTTTATAGGGACTAGATTTTGGACGTACCAATTAAACCAGGTAATATTACAGGAACTGTGGTTTTTAAGTGATAGCACTTTTGTATGTATATATTAGAATTATAAAATCTTTAATGTATCAATTGTGATACTATATTTAATTGACAATATAGGGAGTGTGTCAATAAGACAGCAACCCAATAAGTATGTTTGCCTATAATTTCTTACATCCATTTTATTTGAACTCTGGTGGATAATTGTCTCATTGGCAATTTTACCATATCTCCTTTTTTCATAGTGTGTACCAAAAAGTTTCACTCAGCATTTTCTTAACATCATCCATCACTTCACAGGAACTACGTCAACATACATCACCAAGGCTTTATGCAGCTTGGTGGCTGTGGTTTTGGTCACCTGAAATATTTATTTCTTTTCATATGAGTCATTTTTATTTCTTTGATACACTTATTTTGACTTAGTCTACCATTCAATGACTAAAGACAAAAGAATACAAACATTTTCCAATAATTCTATCGCATTAAAATAAAAACAAAAAAACACCAAAACAATCAAAGTCACAGCTAAAATTCTTTACAAACACAAGCTGCAGGATGTCCGTCTGACTCCAATTACAGAGATAAAGGGAATTATTTCAGACATTTTAATATTGATAAGGAACATTCAAATACATGCTAATATCAAATGTTAGTACATAGGACATGACACCTGGCTTTCTCAATCATATACATCCATGTTCATTGAAAACGTTGAAGACAAATTGGTGGCCTTGGACTTTTCTGCTCTTTGGTCGAATTGTAGTCTCTTTGATACATTCTGCGTTTCTGTTCTCAATTCTATCATAGAACTTTGAAATCATGAACAAACTTTGTAAATGGTTTTCTGAATTAATTGGTCAAAATCATGTATGGAACACGTGTATTAAATAACAAATCAATGTGAACTCAGTCTCATTCTTAATGACATTAACCGATAACTTTGAAAGTGATACAGGAAGGAAAAGGAAAGAAACACTTAATGTACACCTATAATCTTCGGGGATGGGTAAAAAAAAGTGAAAAATAATTTCTTAATTGAAGCTGCAAAACTTCAATATTTTGTCTAACCTTCTAAGATGTTCCAAAGACTCGATTAAAGATTGTAGAGAGAGTTGATTATACAAAATTGCAACTGCCATCAAAAAGGAATTCTTGAAAAAGTGTTTCAAGCTCTGACAAAATAGGAAACAGATTCAGTAAAAGAGTCACAATTTAGGAAAAGTTGCAAGTAAAGCATGCATTTCCTATAACTGTTGAATACACATCTGTGTGGCTTAAATCCGTGTTTTAAAATGATAAACATCATAACATAGGTTTTGAAACTATAATAGAAAAGACTTTTTAATTGATGTGGTATATTTTTATTCAGTCTCATCACATTAAAATGTTCACCTATTTCATATTTTTCGTTATATAGAGATTAACCATCATATAAATTTGAAGTGGATAAAAATGAAGTAAAGCACTAAACTTTGTCCCTCATTTTTGCTAATTCTAATTATGATCTCATCTGCAGTTTAAATAAGCAGATTCCTATATAATTTTTTTAAAGGAATCATAACAAATGACGGTGGTATCCAAGTGACAACAAAGGGACAATGGACAAACGAGTTGTTAAATAGACTCTCCGGCAGACCAAAATCAATATACACTCCTCATTTCTCATTGCGTTGAATACAATTACCATGTTCTTCTAGAAAGATCTATATTTAAATCTATAATTAAAACACAACTAATAATAGTCCATACTCATTTTAACATGTTTAAGACATTTTATACAAAAGTTTTAAATTTCTCAACAAAGGGAATATTTTTGTCGATATATATCATATTTATAGATTATTTCGGATGTATTATTTTAACATGACCTCAGTCACTTCCTGGTAGGCTGACATTTTGTAAAATGAGGAAATTGATTTTTGCAATATAACAGCTGAGTTGAAACGTAAAGTAAAGAGGTAAATACATTTTTTTTATAATTTTGATTTTAAATTTTAGTTTACGTAAGTGTAGTGAATACATACCAGAGAGTCTTTTAACTGTATACTGCATATGTACTTATTTTCGTGGTGTTTTTATGTTCACGAATTTCGCGGTAGGTAGGTACATTTTTCGCGAAAATAAAGACACATGAATTCAAATGCAGATTATAACAAAATAAAAAAAAAAATATTTCTGTAACTTATAACTGTACATGCATGTTCATCTTGTTGGCCTTATATTGTCTCAACTGAACTGTTAAAACAACACCAGTTATCTCTACAGAAATCCAATCAAGAACAAAAGGACAAAAGGTGAAAAATAATAGCCCAATATAACAATAAGGAGATGTGGCATGATTGCCAATGAGACAATTATCCACTTAAGTTCAAATGAAGAGGATATAAACAATAATAGGCAACCGCATGGCATTCAACAATGAGAAAAACACATACTGTATGGTTGGCAATAAAAGGCCCCGACATGAAAAATATGAAACAATTCGATTGGGAAAACTAACGGTTTAATTCATAACAAAACAGTTTACGAAAAACAAAGACAGACATGAACCATCGACAACCACTGAACTACAGGCTACTGACTTGGGACAGGGACATGAAGAATATTAGGAATCTATATTAAGTAATTAACTACTTAGTCGGATTAATTAACATTTTGTTCTTAGTACCATTTTTTCAACAGTGAAATATTCTAAAGATCTACTGCAAAATATTCAATCACTATTTTAATTTTGGTCATGAAAATTTTACTAAGTGAAAACCAGGGCTGATTCTAAAAATAACCAACATTTCATTGAGTGCTTGCATCTCATATATACTACCAAACATAGAAGGTCTGCTTCATATCTTGATCTTCGTCTGGATATTGACACAGATAGATGACTTTACACTAGATACTATGACGCGATGATTTTTGCTATCCAGTTGTCACCTTCCCATTTTTCATCATGAACATGTCCTCTTAACTTGTCCGGAAGACATTGCTGATATAAATCTATGATATATATTTTTTAAAATCTGGCCAGAGTTATACAGACGAGAGCGCTTACAATGAAATTTTGAATATAGATAATATTTCCAAGAGATATAACTCTTTAAAACATAGTTGATCTACATTGATTTTTTAAATTTTCAGAGACATTGCTAATTAAGACATATGTTATATGTCTTGTGTACTATTATTTGTCTGTTTGTCTTTTTATTTTTTAGCCATGGCGTTGTCAGTTTATTTTCGATCTATGAGTTTGACTGTCCCTCTGGTATATTTCGCCCCTCTTTTATAAGTTATACAAAAATCTGGCAAGAATTGAACATATCAGAGCGCTCACAAAACCTGAAGGACAGTTGGCAAGGTAAAATAATGTCACACAATTCTTATTTTTTTTTTATTTTCGATTTTGCAATGCTTTTAAACACTGCAAAAGGAGCAAATATCTGAGCAGAAAATTGATGAACCTTAGGTATGTCAAAGAACGTCTCGATCGTCCTTTTTCTAAAATATTTTCATCGGAAGATACCATGACCTTGTTGATAAATATTCCGTATCAACTTCCCCAATGATACACGATTGTCTTGAAGTATAGATTATAGGTATTCACATTGATTATCATCTTAATAACTTGTTATAGTATTCTTGTTTTTGTCTTTGTTATTATTACTTTTTTAATTGTTAGGTCTATTTTTGGATATCCATTTGACTTGGCTCGATACTTATACATCCCGTCATTGTGTTATTGTTCTATGGTAAAAAAAAATGTTTTTGTTTTTGGTTTTTTGCTAATGTGCTTTGTCTCTATGCTTTTTTGTGTTTCTTTGTTGACATATTTGTCTGTTTTGATAATGATTAAGATTATAAAACAATGTTGACTGCTGTTTCTCTATTTTTGACATTTTTACCTATTATGTCTTTTTTTTTGTTCACACATCGTTGTAAATATAATGGAATTTTATGCGATTGTCATACAAGTGAGATGTATAGCTAGCTATCAAATCAGGTTTAATTCACCATTTTTTACATAAGAAAATGCCTGTACCAAGTCAGGAATATGACAGTTATTATCCATTCGTTTGATGTGTGTCAGCTTTTGATTTTGCCATTTGATTAGGGACTTTCCGTTTTGAATTTTCCTAGGAGCTCGATATTTTTGTTATTTTACGTTTTACATATATGATTGTATATTCTATCTATCCGGTATAGAATTTTAAATACTAGTGACTTTGAAGTTTTTTTAATGTATTTTTTGTACCAATATTTAAAGTATATGTGGTAAACTTATCTGGACTCTTATGTTTAACCTTTCATATCTGCTGAGGGACCAAGTAGCACTATTTTGTAAGAGGAAAAGATATTGAGCAATATGAATATGTTCTCTTCTGCTCAATAAAAGATTTACAGTTTAAAAGTTTTATCAAATGGAAGGACAGACTAACTGACTGAAATGTTGTATATGAAATATGTATCATTGTCTTACAGAAATAGTCAATTCAAATATAGCATTTCACAAAACAACATCATTTTAAAACACAAATATTACCCTCCTTTATTGATAATAAATCTAAAACTCTCTGTACAGGTACAAATCAAATCAATATATACCATATTAACCTATTATCTGGCACGGTAATAAAACTAACAAGTGTCATCTAACTTCCTATCTGTGACCATAGACGGTCATAAACATGTCCTGATTTACTTCTTGGAGCCAACATTTTGGAAAAGGGAAGTCCAATTAGTTTTACCATATTACCAGCTGAGGAAATTATGCTTATTTATCAGGTATATTTTTTTTTTCATTTACGTACTACAACTAAATTTTAATTTGACGATATGAATTTATATTTACAAAATGATTAATTCTTAGAGCGCCACAGCGGCTTTCTTTTTTCGTTTAAATACCGTTGATTTCCATGGGATATATGTCGTAGATTTTAATTTTGAAAGGAAAACGTCAAAAAAGAATCGTAACAATGCACACCGTCATGCAATTGTTTCTGTCTTGAGGCAAATTCTTTAGGTAATAGGTACGTAATTGGGCAATCTAACGAATTTTTATGAAATTGTGCAGGCAAATTGATCTATTATAACCGCTAATAGATATTCAAAAAGTATGCAAGTAAAATTTTCAAAGTCTGAGATAAAGCAATTTGAATATTCTATAAAACGAAGTAAAAATTTATATATATGGATGCACATAAATTCGCAAACACTATTAAAACTTTCTTAAAAAATCATATACCATTGGCACTAAAATTTCCGTTTTATTGATATAAAATTAACAAGGGGCTACAGTATTCATTTTTGTTTGACGAACTTTTCAAATGTATATGTTTTTAGCTTCTCATCGACTTGCAAGTTTTGGCTGTCCTTATGGTATCTTCAAATTCTTTTTCAAGGTCATAGTCGCTGAACTTCTTTTGCGATGTCTACATCTATTCTATACTTTCGTACCACAGATTTCCGGTTTTCAATTTATTATACATATCGGCAAATAAACAGCTTCATATATAAATTTTCGATATTGATTGGTGTCTGCTTGTTAAGTCTGACCATCTGCACCTTATCAACATGTTTCTTTGCTGAATACAATATTTGCAATTGTAAATATTATTTCACAAACGTGTGTACGTTGGATAGACTTTTAATGACATTCATCTCATGTTTAATTTTTTCGTTCTTTTGTCCGATTATTATTCTTATGATTCATCTATTATTTCTTCTTAAAACGCTAGACACCAAGATTGAGTTAGATTTTCCACTTCTATGTTATGATGATTTTTTACTTTAAGGTTTGAGTGAAATCCGGTTTTTTTTATTAGCCCTCAGGGTTGATACAACACTTTTTTTGTTTTGGGTTGAGTTTTTTGCAGTTAATATGCATCATCTATTAGCTTTTGCTAAATCTTTCAAATGATATTACAGTTTAACGCATGTTTGGTTTGATTTTAACAAACTATGTGATATGCATTTGTCTATTAGATCATAACTTTGTCTTCTTTTGTTTATTTTGATGTTGTCATGTATAATTATATTTTACAATTCAATTTTGTTGAAATGTCTAGCAAATTTCCTGACAAACGTTATATTTTTGTTTATATCACAAGAGGAGGAAATCGCTTCTCGTAAAAATATATAGCCAAATAAACAAATAAGCATGTGACAATTCTGTTTCTATTGTTACCAAGTTGATTAAATTCCCACCAGAGATGAGCACACAATATTTATTTTTGAAAATATGTAGTTTATTGGAAATATATGACAACAATAAATATCCATTGAATAAAACTGTAAACGTTATCGAAACATGGCATTGTAAGTAAATGCGTTTGCTTTGTTTATATAGATTTATATGCATTATGTAAAGTTGCAGTGAAAACAGAAACACCGAAGAAATTTATCGAGTTGAAGTTAAGTCATTGAAAACACATTTTCAGAAGTTTGTAGGGGTGTTTTTTGTATTTACTAATTTTTATTTGAGTATGAATTAAAAAAGAAAAAAACAATTTCTCGACATAATTCAAACTTAATTTTTTTTTATTGTCTGAAAATAAAATTTATTAAATAAACATGTGCCTAGCGATCAGGTGCTCTCGCTTGCAAGCCGATAGCGAACGTAATCATCAACGAGAAGTAATATGAGAAAAAAGTTTTTTCCTGAAGCCAAAAAGTTCGTTTGTCGGACAAATGCCTTCATTAACTGTAAAGAGAACAGTAAATAAAGATGAACTATATATACCTAACATTCTTATATTGGCCCTCTCTACTTGCTACTAAATTGTAGTCATCTTCATCTTCTAGTGGTAAATTCGAAAGCACAGTGTTGGAATAGAGTTGACGCCGGCCATTTTCCATTGTGACGTATTGTTCATTATTACTTAACGTCAAAATTCTGTTGATCTTTGGGCCTCACTCGTGCCAATCAAAGGTGTTGTTTATGAATAGGCCCAATAGACCGTATGGTAGAGAAAATGTTTAGGCATAAAATATTTATAAGTAATGCAAATGTAAGCAAGGATAATGGTGAACTTTACAGAAAAAGATTATGAAGAAATACTATCCTATCCACATTTATCATTTCTTCATGCATTAAGGACAAAATATTTGGAATGTGATAAAAATAATTTAACTTCCATTGCTATTGGAAAATAAAAGCTCTCTGTGAAAACTACTGAACCGAAATTACTATAAATCATAGCTATTCATATCTCAATCTTAATCTCTGACTCAATATTAGAAGTTTCCTGTCAAATCTTCTTTATCATAGCTACTCCATCATATATAACATTACACACGTTAATAGAGTGATTTGTACAAAGGTGGTACACCCACTATTTATCACCAGGTAGCCAAATGTTGAATTAACTCTGTTCAAAATATCAAAATGTTATCATTTTGCATCATGTTTTGTATGGACAGCACATATTGAATTGTCTTTGAAGTTGGTTAGTTTATATCCAATTTATATTGTAATTAAGCATGTTAAGGACCTACAAAGGAACATATATTTCAAGTTACATATGTATGATTTTTCTGGCGGGAGTCAAAATCTACCGATTGTCAAGCCCTCTTTACCCCATGCGTTAAAAATTCATTTGTTCTTTTTTTAGCTTTTTTGATATCGCAACTCTGAAAACTTGTCAGTGTCCATTTTTGTTATACCATCGATTTCATTCCCTGATATCGATTTTGAATTACTAATGAAGGATTTTTGTAATCCGCAAATTAAAAAAAAGGCTTTTCTTGACAGCCTTGGTCTCAAACATACTGCTTATTAATGTCAGTTACATCAGTTTGGGCTTGAGGTTATAAATTATCGATATATTTTAATCATGTTTGACAATATATATTTCGAGTTACTCACCTTGTTTTACAATGTTTTAAATTATCCCCCTTAAAATAATGTTTATTGGAAAAATAAGCAAATTAAATGCAAAGTAATACAATGTAATACTAGAATGTTAAGTAATGATTTTAACTTGAAATTTTTATAAATTTATATTTGTCATTGACAATCAATTCCACATCTCCTTATTCTTATGATACGTACTAACTTAAGTTAACCACTGATCAAGTAATGTCTTTGTTTAGACCATGGCATCAAGTAAACCAGTTTCATGTGGGCACTGTCAAAGGGAAGAAGTAAATACTGTAGCTGATATCTGGTGTACCAATTGTGATGAAGGATTATGTTCAACGTGCTCGGGTCTTCATGTTAGATTTAAACCAACTGGTGATCACAAGACCATTGATATTAAAAGGTTTAAACCTCATATTGGCTCCATTAAAACAGAATGTGACAAACATAATCAGCAGTTCAACTTTTACTGTCCCATTCATCTGATGCCTTGCTGTGATAAATGTATTTCAAATCATCATTCAGAATGCACAGGAATAAAACGTTTAGCGAGTGCAGTGCAGGAAGCCAATATAGAACAATCAAAACAATCTGTTGATAAAGAGATATCCTCTATCTTACTTTTGTTGAATAAAATGGCAAATGAAAAATTAAGAAACATAATAAATGGAGAACAACAACACAAAAACATAAAGGAATCAATCAGCAAAATACGGGAGGGAATCAATAAACATTTAGACCGTCTAGAGGCTGAGCTTTACAAAGAAGCAGCTACTGTGTGGAGTGAGGAGAAATCAAACCTAACATGTTCGATTACTGAAATTGAAGAGAAAAAGAAAAACTTAAAAGAAATACAAGATGATGTGCATACAGTCACGGAACATAATTCAAAACTTCAATCATTTCTGGGGATGCATCAGATTGAAAAAAAGATACATCAGTGTCGATATGCTGTAGATATTGAAAACGATGAGGTGGCCAGTGAAATTGACATCAAATTGAAGCAAAATGATGAGATGGAAAAGGTGCTTAGTGAATTTCAGTCATTAAAATCCTTAGGAGAAGTGAAGGTTGTTAAAAGTAAAATGACCATCAGCAGAGAAACAAGTGCGAGTAGGGAACCACAAGTAGCATTACGAGGACATTTCACCACCATACAGAATATGTTAATGAATATTGAGACACAGATTTACCTTAAAATGCAGAAGATTATTAATGATATGGTTTGCCTGATGGATGGAAGAGTTATTGTAGTAGAATGGAATGGTAAAGTTAACCTTCTTACATCTGATGGACAATTTCAGAAACAGGTACCTATATCTGGTGGAGCCTTCTGTGTCACACAGATCAATCAAGGCACAATTGCTATAACTTATCCTAAGGAGAAAACTATTAAGATCTACCATATGGAGACTGAAAATGTTACCAAAGTTATTCAATTAGACAAAGGTTGTTATGGTTTATCATCCTCTAATAATTTTCTTGTTGTTGGTTTGAGTTTAGGCGAAATCCGTATTATAAACTTGGAAGGAAATACATTGAAGTCAATACAACGCCAGAATGAATTAGTAGTTACTAACATTGTTTACTGTGACGACAGAGTAATCTATAGTGATTATGGAGGTACAGCAGTATACTGTGTCGATAGATCAGGTCAACAGATCTGGAAATTTAAAGAGGATTTATGTGGCCCAAAAGGTCTTTGTGTAGATATTTTTGGTAACATTATTTTAGCAGACTATGGCTCTAATAGTAGAATAATTGTAATATCAAAAGATGGAAAGAACAGTAAAATACTCCTCAGAGAACACAACGGATTGAAGGATATGAAATGCATTTGTAATAAAAATAATGAACATTATGGTTTAATGTGTGACAACAGAGGCATAAAGTTAGCAAAATTCAATCTATCGTATGAATAGATATAAGTACTAAACATTCAAATGATAGTAATTGTCAATAATACTACAATGTCCTCTACATTTTAAACTGTAGATAAATATATTGTATGAAGACACATGACACGTGAAGAGCTACATTTACACGAGAATATTTGCGGTAGAGATGTACATTTGTATTATCATATATGGACATTGTAGTTGTTACAATACAAATTAATTCACTGTATGTCAGAAACAAATTTTTGACTGTGTAAATACAGTTTATAAAAAATAGTTCGTACAGTACCAATTGCAAAAAAACAAATATAAACTATATACTATTTAATGTAGACACAAATATAATTTCCAATTACTAAAATATGTTTTTGTTTGAAGATTGGTGTTTTAGTTTTATTACTTAGAAAACCGTATTATGAAATGAAAACTCTGAAAATAGATGCACAAACGTCTTGCCTGCATTGCTGATTTTGATTATGCTTGAATTTAATGCTAATTTTAACAAGGGTAAGCATTATATTTGTCAACATTTACACCTCGCTAACGCTCGGTATAAAGATATTGATAAATATAATGCCTACCCATTTTAAAATGAGCATAGAGCTTTGCATGAAAGTATTTTTTCTTAAGTATTGCAAGCTCGACAAAATTATTATCAATGGAAATCATAAAATGTTTCAAGCACACATCAATATTTTAGTGGTCAAAATGTAATTAAGGATCAATACCTGGTACTGGCCATCGAAAACGCATAAGGAAGTGTTAATCTGCAGCATAAGTGTAATTCAGGTTTCATACCGGGGTATATAATGTGACCTTCCCATCTTCGGGTTAATATATTTGCATCGGCTCTGGGAATATAAACCTTAAGCCTGGAATGTATACCCCGTCTGAAAACTGAATTACATATGCATGATATAATATGCCCTCTATTTAAAGTAGGGATTATGACTGATTGAATCTTGCAAATTTTCTAGTCATAAATTGAATTTGTTATTCTTCTTAACACTCACACAAATGAACATTAGTTGTTTGGGTTGTTTTGTTTAGGCCCTCACCTGCTCCATATTTTTGGCCTTTAGAACAGCAAGTCTCAAGATGAACTAATGATGGTCATATCAGAAACATCAAATTTATATAATTATTTGTTGACATAACACCGAAAGATGATCACTGATGGAAACATAAAGAAAGAGTGCTACCTTTAATCATCTTGCATTAATATGATAAATAAATTACAGAAAAAAATATGATAATAATACAGATCCCATGTGCTATCTTCGCTTGAAAGATCTGAGATGCTCTCTCAGCAATGCAATGTGAAGTACAGATCCGGTATCTAAGATTCATATTCACGGATCTGACACGTCTATATCCTACTTTCCAATTATTAGAATTTTCCAGAACTAAGAATTTTTTTTTGTAAGATGCACATTTGAAATTTAGAGAGAACAGTCTCATTGGTTGTCGTTATAATCCAAAACACAAAACATGAAATGTACGGACGGTGTAAGGTCCTCGTAATCGAAGGGTGGTCACAGGATCCCTATTTGAAATAGATTAATATAGAATATACTAGAACACACCCGCAAAATCGCGGGTCCGTGACTGAATTAAAGTACCTACGCCTTATTTTTGGTATTCGTTTTGTCATCTGATAAATTCATGCTAATTATAAGGTGCACAGTTTTCTCTGCTTTCAAAATCTTTCTGTTAAAACCCGTCCTGGTTTTCCTACTACAATTGGAAACTACATGTGAAAACGATGGAATTTAGTAGTGCCAATCCCTGTATTATGACGACGTTCAGGTGTAATTATGACCCGTGAACATATCAAATCCCGTATACACAGTTTGGTGGTGCGCCTGTCAGAGGCGGAACGTACAGATTAAAGGTAACAGGCGACATATATTATTGGTATCGGTATCGGATTCAAACCGGGACTTATTAATTATTGGTAATATTATTTATATGGAAAACAAAAACGCCTGGAATATGGTGTAATTTTCAATCAACACCATTGTCCTATATAAGTTAATATATATAAAGTTGAATTCTTTGATTCGTCGTTTTTACGTCATGCGGCATTGCCGGCTAACAAATTGGACCTCGTTATTTTAGTATTATGGAGGCAATCAACATAATTAAGGCACAGGTAGCAACCCTGAACACAACTAAATTAGAAACAAAGATCGAGACACATTTTGAAGAATTTACAATATCGTGGTCTACATCAAAAGTTTTTATTACAATAATTCATGTGGACATCATAATCCTGCGACAGGAAATGAAAATATGATTGGAAATTAATAATATGATAATTCCTGTTATTAGTTATTTTTATTTTAAGATGTTCAATATTTGTAGGTTTCAATTGTAGATGGAGATCATTCATTTACATCAAATAATTTTTTCATGGTGCTCTAGTTTAGAATATATCATAATGATATCTCAGAAGACTTTATCATTTTATTTTTCAACACCACTGAACGAAAATGTACTTATAATGAAAACAACAAATGAGCTATAATGTCTTAAACCTATTGCCAGAATTATGAAACCTAAAGGGACTTTTCAAGATTTTCCTATAAGTGAATTATTTTGTTATATATTCAAACGAATGAGAGAGGATGGACAACGTATTTTCTGTACTAATAGAATATAAACATTTGTTTAGTACCATAGATTGACAACTAATTGTCATGCAGCTGTCAACAATATGTGTGATATATTGTTCCAAGCATTCCCTAAAGAGATTACTAAGGATCCCATAAAACTGAACGGTTGCCGAGACAACATCAAGAATCTTTTGGAATATCTTAGAAGTTTTACTGCAAAGTCTTCTGAACAGTACACATGAACATCATTTGCAAATTCTCAAATATCATTTATGAAAAAGGTGCTATAACTATTTATAGATTGCCCTCGATATGAAAGTTTAGCAAGACATGAAGAAAATTGGAACGGCCATCTTTAATGTTTTCTCAGAACCGTACATTGATGGATGGTCCTTGACATACCCGATGATATTGACAAACATTAAACAGTCGCAATACATCACAGATGGAGATTGATGAAGATTGACCAATCAGATAATTAGATTGTGTTTATCTATTTAAATAGCAGTATTGAAGTGGGGGCTTCATATACAATATTTACCACAAATCTAAAAATCTATTCTTTTTTTAAAAATTCACTTAACATATTTTTAAGATCGACTTTGCAAACCTCCTGATTATATAAGTTATGGATAGAAAATATCGTTGTGATATCTTTATTGTATATCAATTAGGTCTTTCCACATTTCCGTGGAAAGACCTATTGATTTCGGTCTGATCATCAATAGGCCTTTCTAAATATCCGTGGAAAGACCTATTTATTTTGTTCTGATTATTATACAAAGTATTGGTTTAATCCCTTTTAACTAAACCAATAGGGTCATAACACCTAAATCAATTCCTAACTTTATTTCATTGTATAACACTTTGTCGCACAATTGAATAGCAATAAATAGACTAACACTTAAGAAGTTGTCCAGAAATCAATCCCAATTTTCCTTTTGAAGTATGGAACCTTGCAGTACAATTTCATAGAAATCCATACTCTAATACACAAATTAGTATCATGAAACATGAAAAATGCATGTGTTTGGCCCCGTTTTGGCCCTTAATTACCAAACAGCTACAACAATAACCCCAAAAATAAATCCAAACTTAAAGTTTCCTAAAGTGGAATGGAACCTTGTGCTTAAATTTAATACAGATCTATACAATTATACAGTAAACCAAACAAATCATTGTTTTTGTTAAGCCCTTTTTTACCCTTAAGGATGTTCGCTACTCTGTTTCAAAATAACAAGCTTTTTATAAGATTGTTATGAATTGATAGTATATAAACAAAGAAACTAAAAAAGCAGAAAAAAATGAAGGGTTCGTGTGCTTGTTTTCGATTAAGCCATTGAAAATATGGCGGAAATAATTCTCTCTAGATTTTTCATGCATTTAACATTGGAAACTTTTTTCTTTCAAAAAACGATAAAAAAATAACAAGGATTTTATAAGATTTCCAAAGAAGTCACTTTAAACTAAATGTAATCAAATTATGGAAAGAAAAGTAGGGGTTAATGGGCAAAATATTTAATGGGACTACATGGATAAAACCAGAGGATTCAGAATATCTGGCAAAAATTCATAAACAAGAAGAGCGAACATCTTTAATTCCTAAACAGCTACAATAATAACCCCCAAAACACACCCTAACCTTCCTATAGTGGTATGGAATCATGTGTTAAAATTTCATAGAGATCCATACAGTAATACTCAAGATATTGCCTGCAAACCAGAAAATAGTTGTTTTCGGCCCCTTGTCGACTCCTAATTATTAACAGTATGGGCCATATGACCCTTCAAAAATCAATCTAAACTTTCCTATAGAAGTATGGAACTTTGTGGTAAAATTTCATAGAAATCTATACTCTGATACAACAATTATTGTCCTGAAACATGAAAAATGCTTGTTGTTGGCCCCTTCTGGTCCCTAATTCCTAAACAGCTACGACAATAACCCCCAAAATTAATCCCAACCTTCCTATTGTGTTATGGAACCTTGTGCTAAAATTTTGACCAGAGAAATATCTTTTATACTCAAGTGTGTCTTTTAAAAAACCAGACAAATAGTTGTTTTGGCCCCTTTCTGGTCCCTTATTACAATACAGCTAAGCAATAACCCAAAATCCATTCCAACCCTCCTTTTGTGGTATGGAACCTTGTGCTAAAATTTCTTACACATCCATGCTTTTATACTAAAGTTATTGTCTGCAAACTGATTTATTTTCCATGAACCAGTAAACTGACCATTTTTGGCCCCTTATTACAGAAGCACTATAGGACAATAGCCCCCAAAAACAATACCAACCCTCCTTTAGTGGTATGGAACCTTGTCCGAAAATTCCATAGAGATCCATGAACTTATACTCAAGTTATTGTCTGCGAACCCCAATGTCTTCAGACGTAGAAAACACCATAACATAATCCAAACACAAACAAATTTGCGGTCGTATTAAACCTGAAAAAATGGAACCTTGTTTAAACCCATTGTTTTTCCAACACAGAAAAGTATCAACACAATCAATTATAATTCTGTAGTTAACTTATTTTAATTGAACACGTGACTAATGTTTTTTATTTATCATTTCTTTTATATATTAATGATCACCCACTTCAACTAAATCATACAATGCCTGATTTGTATGCGAATGACACAACACTTAAATACTCTTCAAGTTCCGTTGATGATATATGTGATAAACTTAATTACAAAATAGCAACTTTTAAAATATGGTGTGAAAATAATATGATTTTAGATATTAAAAAATCCA